TTCTAGACTGGCCAAAGACCAAAAGCCACAAGTATGAGCTCTAACAATAGTGATTTGATGGTCTGGGGGATTGTGTTTCGCGGTGAAAATTGAGAGTTGGTTAGTCCAAATCAAAAGGTGGATTAAACATGCAGTGTCACTGATAATTGAGAGCCATGGAAACTGTACAGCTGTTTCTTCCGGCCTATTTGAGATCGCTAGTGCACCAGCCTGTGAAAGCTCCGACTCGGGTCTGCAGAAATATGGGCCTCATACGTTACCACTGGGTTATGCAGGTTGTTTGGTTGTCTGGTTGGTTGTCTGGTTGGTTAACTGGCTGGCTGGCTGGCTGGCTGGCTGGCTGGCTGGCTGGCTGGCTGGCTGGCTGGCTGGCTGGCTCCAGTGTCGAATTTCACTTCACTATCGCGCAATTAAGCATCCGAATTTCTCCACCCACAAGTGCTGATTATCGCCACTTGAACACAAGCTTGTTTGATGGCTACATTTCTGTTCTCATATCAAAGTGATGGAAACACATAAGCGGCAATAATCAACCCGATGAGGTGAGATCATCCTGAGATTGTTCAATCAGCAACATCGTTAGAAGATAATGTTAGGAAAATCGAGGTATATAGAGTCGAATTCATAGAGTATGGTGGAAACATCTAGGGGAGATTAAATGCCGTGAGCATTTGAAATGGACAGTTATGAGCGGAGTAAAGACTGTATTATATGAACTTTCTAGGCCCGGAGCAACCTAAAGTGTTAAGGTTGTTTGCGCTATATTTGGGACCCAAAAGCATCAATTAAATTTATTCTAGAAGGAACCACGCATTGTAACAAGCCAAGTGAAACAGATGCAGTCTGAGTACTTCCAAGGCTTTCCAGCAATATGTATGTCGCATTGTGTAATGTTGCGTAGTGAATCACTTTAAAATGATTAATTCCTCTACTACTACTAAACTGGTGAATTAATAACTGATCCCGATTTTTAACATACGAAATCAGATGTTTGTGAATAAATTCTCGATCAACATGCATAGTGACCCAAAGTATTCTCGGTGTCCCTATCCGGAAAATCTCTTTTGCCATAACGAAGTACTGAACAGTGAAAGTAACCCTGGAAATTTGTTATTTTGTAGTGAAAAATAAATATCCATAATTCAAGTTAAAAGTGCTTTGAGTTTTCAGAAGTGACTGAATATTCACATTGATCGAAATTTCACAAAAGCTATTGTTTACATACCTTCCACTGTGGTGCAACAGACAACAAAATGCACGCCCCCAATGTTTGAAGAACTGGATGGTGTAATTCCCCGTGCCCAGAACTAAGTAAGCCTAGTTTCCCTCATCCGGAAAGCTTTCATCGCAAAAACCAGCAGACACATCTGATGCAACAGGTTNNNNGGTTTATGCCGTGCTGCATTATCCAAAATCGATGTTGGTGATGCATCCTTTCTGATCGACGGAGCTATGAAAACAATTGCCTGCAAGTTCAGACCTAATCGCATAACAGTACAATCTTGATCTTGCCATCTTTTTTCATCTCATTCGGTCGCCTGATACTTTCCATCCTTTGTACGTTAAAGTTTGAAGGGACCGCTAAAAGAAAATGGAAAATGCACGCATTTTTTCTGTATGTGCATGAAGACGTAAAAATATCACCACAGACATCATATTTAACCTTGAACAACTTTTCCGAATGCTTTTCAAACTTGCGCATCACAATTATCCGCTTTGCGTAACGGGAGTTCAAGCTATGGCGGTCTCATAACCAATTCAACCACTGTCGTGGGTTGATATCTGCCCACAGAAGAGGATCGATAAAATGTGCGTTTATACTGTTCGAATAACCCCTGCATGAATACCCTAGTATACGAGGTGACTTTACAAGTTTCACGAGAACGATGTCTAAAATGGCTTAAAATTTATTGAAAACAACCAAAATAAAGGGTGGCTCCACTTCAATGATTTTTTTTCATGTTCGCGTTCAGAGTAGGGAGTAAGGAGCAGAGGAATGATGGGATTGTTTGACTGTCACGCATAGAAGAAGCCAATACAAGCCGGCGGCCCAATACCAGAATCCGGATTAGGGTATACACCGATATGAGTTGTTCTGCTGTCGCAAATGATGCCCAATAATGCTGATGATGATTTACAGCCTTAAGTGAACCACTTACCTGCAGCACAGTAAACCCAAACTGCCTATCACTCTTTATAATGACAGAATCCTACAGGAACTGTGGGGTTCAGAGAACCGTTCTGTTTACACGTTATCTGTAGTCAATGCATATGGTGGAAATACGTCTTTTAGCTTCGTAGAAACAGCTGTTCCCCACGAAAACAGTTCGCCCAACTTTTCGGTCTTGACATCGGAGGAAAGAAAAACGATATCATGGCTCTACGGGTACTGCCCGATTCGCATTGAAAAATGTTTGTCCGTATCTGTGTGTTTGTGTCCACATGTCATGACAAATCGACCTGCAATGTCCTGATTTTAGGATTTCAACGGACCACATCTGTGTAAATGCTCACTCATCCACTCACACTCAGTCAAGCAACTGTTGACCGGAATCCAGAATGCACTGATTTTGTTTCAAAAGCGCCAAGATTCCCACGCATGCTAACGCGCACATATCAACATATTGTATGAAATTATTCGACTGACAGATTATGGGTAGCAGTGTGCGCACGAGTTTTTCTATGCCTGAACCGGTCGTAGTGGATCACAACCGTGCGCACGCGTACACACTCACACACACACACACACACACACACACACACACACTAGATTGTCTATTGGATTTGGTGAAACGGATAACGCCAGCCTAGCAATGATCAAAGCATGCAATCGATGTAAACACTGAAGACTGTGTTAAGTTTATCTGTGATCTGCACTTCAGTGCTTCATTCACCGTAATACTGCTCTCTATGGCAAAGGTACGAGTGAACCATTTGTGTGTGTATATATGTGACTACTCACTGTCGGAAACATATTGGCGTTCGTTCTCTTGCAATACATTTTGCCAATATACCTTGACCTGATGTGACCCGCTTGTGCAAATTGATGCGACTTTCATGTGCGGTATCGATTATCTGATATGAGCATCTTGATGAGTGAAGAAATCTGTATTAGCAGATTATCTAATCTATTCTACCTTGACGATTTACTGAAATAGAAATTTCTCACTCATACCAAAGAGTCCAGAGCAACCATGTGTACGATAGCGATGACCAGCTGTGAACGATGCAATCTACTGGAAGTTGTCTGTTCAATGAAGTCCGTTATTCCTTCCTGTTAATGGTAAAAATTATAAAATAACAAATTCTGATCCTGAGTGAGTGAGTGACGAACACCAAACTAACAAACTACTGTCTGACGGCTAGGTGTTTGGAACAAACAAGCAGCGGAAGACATTTTGTTAACATAAAGAAATTCAGCGACCAGATTTTTCACTAAGTAGCCTCTTGTAGGACATCCAAAATGCGAATTTCAATCAGTGGAGTGGAGATTCAGATCAGGCATGTATCAGACATGAGAGGGTACAGAATAACAGAATAGTGTAGTCAGGATGATCATAACATGCAGGATAAAGACCATCCTGGACGGAAGGCATTATCTTCTATTGTCGGTGTTAAACAAAAACCGAACTGTCTGTTCTGGCAGTCCACTCGTAGCATATCAACCCCCGACCTTTGACAGTTCTAGTCCATGCGTGGGTCTGAATCCCACCCAGGCTACTGAACTTTTCACAATCGACACACATCAGAAATTTTTGTAAGGGTTGTCTGTTACAAGATGGCAGACTGTCATGTACCTTGAGGTGCCCTACGCTATTTAATCTTCATTAATTCCCAAACCGTACCCGTTACAGTAAGGAGACTGCTTTTCCGATTAGTGATGAAATGTTCCCTATCTAACTGTCAAACTCGGCGCACAAACGAGCATCATACATTATACTATCCAGTTGACGAAGGGGTGAGCACAATACAAACAGTTGTGTCGTGTTCAAAATTGTAGCTCCAACACCACTGGAAGTTCAGTTCACTAACGCACCTCAACCAGTTGAGCAATCTGTCATACATACCGCCCTAATATTTATGTTCTAATTCGGCTGATCACGTGAAAATCGTTTTTCCCCGACTGGAAACCGCAAACTATGTTGTGTAAGAATCAGTATGTGCTAGCATCCACCAAAGCGTAAGTGCACTTAAATTACAGTCCCCAGTTCAATTGGAATTAGTTTCAAGCATACTTGAGCACACTATTTGTAAACTTAAAGTCACAATGGTCACCCGGTACACTGGAAGTGCAAATGATCAGCTTGTATGTGAAAAACTGCATGTATTGATTGTTTCCATAAAGTGCACTTTGCTGAAATCCAGACAGTGAATTTGCCCGAGCTGACCACACGTCTCGACGGATCAGCTATTTTGTTTCCGTTCTGTCAGGTCCCTTTCTGAATTCCTTTGTGTCACATATACACAGTGTCAGAGTAAAAAACGTGAAGAATTCGCATTATTGATTCACAATGGGAAAATGTTTCAGTGATTTACTCTCGTGTGTAAATTAAAATACAAAGTGTAAAAAACCATGAGACATTCCACGATAAGTCATTACACCAGTTTAATGAAACGTTTTTGTATTTCGTTAGAGAAACGCCTTATTTTGATATTAGCATTTTAGCATAGAAAAAACTGAATTCACACCCCTGGGAATCAATAAACGATAACTTGTTGATGCTTTCTCTTTCATAGGGGTGCAGTACAAAAGTGAAGCATGAAGATGTACCATATCAGACTGAATGCTAACGCTCGTACCCTTCACCGACAAAAAATAGTTATTCACCAGAAACTGTTTAATTATATTTAATATAGTTTTTAGCCTGTGATCGAAACAAACTGCTTAACCAGTAAACAAGGAGAGAGTTCAGGAAAAGAGCAAGTTCAGGGACAAAGTGAGAAGGATGAAACAAACTTTGAATAAATAACAGGGAGTAATTTTTCTTTAAGCACTGAGTTATATAGTATGTTAGTTTATAAGTTTTGTTACAGATGTCTCAACTGTGAGGAGACTTCTCAATTTAGGCGACATAGAAAAAGATTGTCATTGTTTCAAATGCAAACCCCCGTCGATAGTGGATCAATCCATCGAGATACTAGGAAAACTCTGGTGAATGTATTGACAAGATCTACTGTCAACCGTGAACGTGTGCTCTACACATTGTAGCGGCTTTACGGGGATCGGTGGGAAATTTTTATCATTTTGCACCGGATTAATCATTCCGCTCATTACGGATGGATGTGGATGTCGTAGTGAAAAGGGAATCAATCACACTATCATCCAAGTGCCTAAAAGTGATGGTTTACGAGGTGAAACAAACAAATAAGACGCGGTGGGAAGACGGGAATTGTAAAGTAGCGCACTGTTGATCAGAATGGCGAAAGTTTTGGCAAGTTCCACTCAAAACCCTGCAAACCTTTGGGTTTGTGTTCAGAGTTTCTGCAGATCTTATCCAACCTCTCTTTATTCTCACTTCATTTTATTCGCATTCAATCAAACTGACGGCAATTCTTATTTTCCTCCCTATGTCTCATTTGAGTAACTTGATGTTATTAGTATCTGATTCAATGGAGATAAGTTGAAACCAGTTCAGAATACCTAGAAAATAGAAAAATGAAGCAAGCCCTTCTAAAGGAAAATACCATATCGCACTACTGTAGGATTCATGTGCAGGTCTATTTCGCTGCATCTCGGGGTAGTGTGCACTAAAGAAAAAGTGATTTTTATTCGGGGCTTTGGCATAAAAACAAAGTAAATTCAAATACAATAAAACAGAAAAACATAAAATGGGGAAGAGTTAAAGAAGGACTATGTTGTCCGGTTAAGGACAAGCTAGCAAAGAGTTCTTTCACCCACACTGGGGGGGCTTTCATCGATTGATAGCAATCAATTCAGTAAATCTTGGCCATTTTGCCGTTTGTGATAAGTAGACAAGCCGAAACGACGTACTTCAACAACGTTGCATCATCAGTAACAATTCGATCTGTGTCTGGTGACAGCACTTGTAGTTTTAAGCGTCAATTCTATACCGCAAACTTGAACGCCATTGCTTCAGCTGAATGTGGACTCATTTTAGAATATATTCAATCATCCAGTTGCGCCATTGTTGCTCTGTTCTGCCCAGGCAAGTTGCTTGCAATGAAATTGGTTGATCACGTTAGAGTCAGCGTGGAGAGGCTGGCGTTCTTTTGACGAGGGGTTTGTGGGTAGCCCGATTGTCCGATAGATAATTTATGGGTTAACCGTACTGTAAGTTCTGGTGATTGGTGATCTGATTCTTTCGGCAGACGGTCTACATCATCACTTTTGAATTGAACGTACAGCGTAACACTTAATTTTGGAGCCAACGTGAACCGTTTCCTTCGCAGGTATCGTTCATTAAAAAACGCTTTCGGGGCAATAAATTCATAGTTTTCTTTTGTAGCTCTTTCACAGTTGTCTTTCATATAGATCCACCTGGCTCTGTCAGATAACTTCCAAACAAAACCACCCAGTGGCACGAAGCTCGCAAATTGTAAATACTAATCTGCCCAGATCCCCGTCCGCTAAACGAATCAAGCGATTGTTCCCAATTCCCTTCTCATCATGCTTGTACCAAGGGAGTTTAGTATTCTGTTGAAGTCAGAATTCATCGGGCGCTGAATATCTGGATGTAGTCCATTGCTTTCATCCATAATTATTGCAGCTTTTGGTTATAACAACGGTTTTGCGACGTTTCATCTGCACAGGATGGCATGCCTCAGAATGATATTTGGCTTTTTTCGAGATATGCCAGCACTGGGCCCGGCAGGATCACCATAGCAACACCATCGACTTGGCTATACGCTTTTCCTTGAAAGGTGAAAGACACATTGGTTGTGCGGAGGGATAATAGACGCTCAAGAATGGACACCGGTAGGCTCACTCGAATCTGTTCTTCCGATATATAATTGTCAATAGCTTGTGTAACCTCACGAACTGGTACACTGGTAAACAGAGATTGGTCATCCAAATACGGAGCTTTCATTTGGAACCACATAGCTGACGGCTCACAACCATAATTGTCGTACAACAACACTGGTGTGTGTAAACTCTCATGGGATTAACTAGGAGCACTTTTACCTGATTTATAAAGCCAAACACTCAAACTATGTGCCCGGGACCGCATATCTCCGGGTGAAAAGTTTTCAGTTCCAACCAGAGGGCTTGTAATTAGAGCTCAACTTAGAATACAGAAATTGTGCAAACTGCAAATATGACCCGACAAAATACGAAACACTTGGCCCAGTGCTTTGTGTCAGCCGTTCCGCATAATCTTCATCCAAAAGAAGAATTGAATAAATGTTTGGTTGAAATATTCTATGGCATTTTAGGCAATGTTTTTTAGTCGAATCAACCTCAGATTTGTGAAATGCAGCGTGCGTCGATAGGGTAATTCGAGCCCTAGTCGTTTTCAGAATGGACGAACCAGATTGAGATCCCAAACCTTGGCAGTTGCATCAAGTTAAGAGATGGCATTTACGTGCTTCGTTGAAGTAGTCGTAGAACGTATAGCCGTAGCGTTAGATACCCATCGAACAACTTTCAGTGGAATGACTAGCTTGCGACAGATTAACAAGGAAGTCACTGTGTGCCTGCAAACAGGACGTCAGATTCCCTCGTGTGAACTTTTGTCCACTGACAGTAAAAGTACATCCACCAAGGAATTTCTGACTCATCCCAGTGTTGTCGATATTTGCTATAACTTCTTTGTCTACGGACTTCAATTTCAGTTAAAAAATGCACACGGAATGTCGCACGTATTACGTCGGAAATTAAATGTTGATACGACTGAGGAAACAGACGACAGAACGAAGTTTGCTCGTCACACTCCGTTTCTCTCGCCGCATCCAGCTTTGTCAAAATACCTGCCACCTACAGGATCCGTGGGTCCGGAGGTTAACGTAAAATGAAATGTATAGGAAATCAAAACGTGAGGAATAAAATGAATAATATGCAAACAGATCGTTAGACACGGAATGCGTACGGTTGTTAATACCTCTATAGTAAAACCTTTACACGGGAGGAACCGTGTCTATCCGATGACATTTTCAGGTGAAATTAAAGAGACGTAACTCACGACGGAGTGTCTTCGGCGTAAAAGATTTAATATTTTTACGCCAGGGAGAGAAGCGTAACAGGATAACAACAAAGTCAAATAGAAAGAATACACTGATCAACCAATTCGAAAACACTTCTTTCTGGGATGCGACATATTTTGTAAATCTGAGGAGGTAAGTGCTTTAGTTCTCAAAGAAAATGCCGAATGAGCTAATATTGTTGTCTAACATCACGCCTAAATGCTTGATGAAGTTCACTCTGGAAAAATCTACATCAGTAGTTTCCGCATCGTTTGCGGGAAACAGAGTGCACGAAGGGACACAGACATTCATCACAATTGCCTACCTTCAGAAAAAAAATCAGATTTGGATGAGAGAGTTCGCTTCAAATTATTAAACAATCTCTGAAAGCTTAAACGATCGAAAAACAAACTATTGCATTGTTATATAATCTGTATATTGCATTTCCACATAATGAGCTAGACCAAAATGAAAAAAATTAACCTTCCTCTCAAATAATTCACGCACAAAAGCAACACTGGATAACGAATACAGAAAACAATTGGCATTCAAATTTTGATAATGATGATGATGATGATGATGATGATGATGATGATGATGATGATGATGGTGATGATGATGATGATGATGATGATGATGATGATGATGGTTCGTATGATGATGTTGATGATGATGATGATGTTGATTCGGATAATGATGATGGTGTTCCGGATGATGATGATGATGATAATAATGATGATGAGGATGATGTCGGATGATGATGATAATGATGATGATGATGATGATTCGGATGATGATGATGATGAGGACGATGTGTCGGACGATGATCATGATGATGATGATTCGGATCGGATGATGATGATGATGATGATGATGATGATGATGATTTGGTTGATGATGATGATGATGATCGGATGATGATGATGATGATGATGATGATGATGTTGATGAATCGGATGATGATGATGATGTTGATTTTTCGGATGATGATGATGATGATGATGATGATGGTGATGATGATGATGATGATGAACTAAGGTGTGGGACAGTTATTCTGACCAGCCTCAGGCAATCGATGAGGCCATCCAATCAAGCACGTGACAGTTCAGTAGAACATTCATCCGATTGTTTACCGTACAACTCCCACATGGCCTACACCGTTGTCGTAATCGCAACCGAACTTATCGTTCGCATACGACTAATGTGTCCTGAAATTTTGTTGAACTTTCTTTGCTGCTTGACGAACCACATGGTGCTTCGAAAAACTGAAAATATGGACACCGAGTTAAATTCATATCAAACGCGAAATTTCTTTCCTATGTCTCAGGTTTGACAGTGTCCTCCAAAACGCACAACCGTATTATCCCGACTCCCATTTTCCCGATTTCGGAAATTCACTTGAGGAAGTCAGGAAACATAAAATTCACAATTGTACTTTCATTCAGATCCCTGTTTACTTGAACTTTTAGTGGGAATCCCGGTGTGCGTATTGTTGTTGTTTCTGCAGAACAGAAACAACCCACTGTGTAAGAAGAAAGCAAAAATCAGTTTTTCATGAGAGTAGTGGAGGATTAGTTTTGATCACTTGTTGAATTCCGTTGAATACAGAGTCAATGTAGCATGAACTGGAAAGCTAGAAAGCACTGAACATCTGTTTCAACTTGGTCGAGTCCCATCAGCAGTGCGAATCCATCGACCCAACTGGAGGTCGAACCCGGGACCTTATCGGTGGAACGCAAGCATACTGCCCACTCGGTCACCGGGTAATATTGTCTCAATTGCCTATACATCATATACCACAACCCATCTTCGCGAGCCCGATGCAGGCCTTACATCTCAGCACCAGCCTACTGAATGATGACTCAACGGTTTACTACCTTATCTAGAAAACAAACGATTGTAAAATGAAGTATTTTCACTAGTCTGCACTGATGACCATGATGATGATGATGATGATGATGGTGGTGGTGATGAAGGTATTGTTTGATTCACCTCGACTGTGATCGATGGATAGATCCAAAGGAGTTTAAAAACTAATACAGTAAGCGGCTCTGAAACGGGAGTCGGGATTCAGTATGCAAACTCTATGGAAAACTACAGACGGCAGCAAACACCAACTCACATGGTAGATCTGAACAACGGTAAGGACGCAAACTACAGAGCAACTTGTATATTTTGAAGTGAACAAATAGGGATGGGGGGTCAGGACCATGACTTGAATGTTCCAGGTGATCTGGCATTTGAGTTTCTGTACCCGAATCCTCCATAGGCTCGCAGCACATACCTAAAAAAGAATGCACTGAATAATACAGAATTATGTATACGTGTAGGACGATACCCCAAATAGCATGTGGGTATTGGTTTAGTTTTGCCAGTGCGTAAATATTTCTAAATAAGGTACGTTTGGGATAAGAAAGCACACACGGAAGATAGCAAGGCTAGGAATATTTTTTTCTTTTTTCCAGACTATTCAGAGGATGGCAGTCGATCATGAATTGTTCTTAAGTTGTACTGCTCTCACAGAAAGACTCATCTATATGCAAAACGTCAAATGTCGTATATTTTTCTCAGTTAAATAACTCGTATATATGAAATTCTTATTGACGAATGGTCATTATTATTCGCGCCCGTTTGCCTTATTTAACCTCAAAATCGTTTCTGTCTACATTTTACGACCGTTATCATCTCTCACCCGTATAAGCTAACTAACGAGGGACAAAATCATATGAAACATGTTTGATTTCTCGTTTGAAAGGTAGTTAGTAGCTGAATTGCAAAAAACTGAAAATCCCTCTGGGTCGGTATGCTGTTCCAGTGAATTATGTTTACCATTTCGGAATGAAAGGCTACTCCAATCTAAACGCATTTCATCATCTACTAGGATGTAACACTAAGGACGAGTTTAGCCTCGACGGCCCTTGGGAGTTAACAAAGAGTATCTTCATTGTGTGTTTCGTGGACTGTGTTGCCTGCGACAAATTCTTCACTTCTTTGTTCCATTAGACTGGTCTCCAAATCGTCTCTCATACATACTCCGAAGAGTGGCATAGGGTCAGTATCTGTCTGTATAAGAGGCACACTGGAGCATGGGAAGACTACATGATTCCAAGTGGGAATAAATGAGTCAACTCGTTGGTATAAGTGCATCTATAGTGTAGTTCGAAAATGATTGGAAAAATATGTATCCATACTGCTGCTGCTGGACGAGTGTACGCATACATACACTCGTCCATATGGTGAGTTTATAAACGTATGCTAGCAAGCACATGCGACTCCGTCACTGTGTGATACGTGGTTTTCCTTGTCTGCTCTATAGGCATTGGTCTTAGCCAGGACCTTTAAAGAGCACAATGCAGGGTGGTTTTTTGTTCTGTATTTCAAAGGTACTGTCAGTGGTGGTAGTGAAGGTGGTGGTGGTGGTGGGTAGATTCGGCCAAATCGATTCAGACATACAGTGGTCTCTTTCTCTCCGTCAACTATGTTAGCTCCGCAGACCATATACCAAGTATTTTTCATCAGCATATAAACACATATACATGTGCTTGCGTGCATGCCTGCACAGACAGATATATACAGACGCCCGTAAGGCCTAGAACCAGATGGTCTCTGACATATAGTATTCTATCACCCTACACCTTTTCCTCGTCCAACATTGGAAAACTCCTATGTGTGCACACACACGTGACAAAAATGGCAAATCCCATGTGTACTATAGATACATTGCAGACACAGACTATACACAGTATTCTGCCCACTGGTTAAATCTCCAAGAGAGCATACCTATTTATAAGGTGTTGGTCGCAATTGACAGACTGTTTTTTGGGGGGGATCCGCTTTTGGATGTCAGGTGGAGCATGAATTTCCATCACGAGAACTACGGTACATGTGGCAGGGAATGTTCGGCAAAGTACTGCAGGGGGGATAAAATCATGTTAGGAATTCTGTGTGTCCAAAAGTTAATTTGACAAGGTTTAGTTCACTTTGTTCTGCTTCCCTAGATGCACGGTCCCGTCAATAACAGAACTTCATGTTGATGTAAGTTATCAGTATTTTGAAAGTGTGCCCATACTCAATAGCAATTGTAATCACCCGCGGAAATGTGTAAATCAATATATATTATTTATAAGATTTCATGAAAAATAATCCACTTGAACAAATGAGTTGTCGAAGTGGATTAACTTGGCATGGACGTCTACTCGAGAGAGAAAGATCGAGGGCAATACGAAATGATGAATGAAAACAAAGTGGAAATGATAAGACTATCTGTGAGACACCAATGCATAGCACTCGTACCAGCCTGGGACACACCACCTTAAATGCGAAGAATACTTTATAAAATAGAATGAATTGAAAACAATGAGGTAATAGCGATAAACCAGAGCGTCCGTTTATCGAAAAGTGGAACTTTTTGAGTTTCATTCTTTTTGCCAGGTGAAACGAAAGCAAAGGACCAACATGCGAAATGAATTTGAGTAAGGTAGCAAAAAATACGGAAATTAGGTACTCCGCATTTACATTTTGAGGAAACGATGCAAAAGACCTCGGATAAGAAATAGCCTTGTGATTAAATGAGCAGCGAGTAGCGGGAAGAGTCCATATATGCTTACAAAAGTCACAAATACAATACAAAACAATTGTGTTGCCCGTGCTGTTCACACTAACTCATCAATTTCATTCCGACGGAGTAGGCCGGCTCCACCACGTATTTAATGGATTTAGTTTGCGACTAATGCTGCCTTCTAGTCCCAGCAGAGACACAAAAGTATTAAGGAACACCTACAAGCCCCTCATAAGTGATGGTTGTCGTGGTGCTCATAGCCTATACCTCCAGTAAATCTGCGAGGTTGAAATTCTCACGCAGAAGAAGTCCAATAATCGCATCTCTCGGATTTTTATTGTGCATCAAACCAATGGTCGTTGATGTGGTTTCACACTTCTTTTCCGTTTTACGAGCCAATAAATAACGAGATATCCTGAACTGCGACAAAAGTCATAATATCACCGTTATCTTATCAATGGAAAGTCGGAAACCGGAAGAGCTATTTCAAGACTTCCAATCGCTGCTCAATTTTCATTTCTCCATTTGACTAGTCATTTATTTTTCTCCTCTTTTCCACAAAATATTTTCATTTTACCAAGAGAAATCGCCCACTTTCAAGGATCAGTTTAGGAATAAATATTTCACATACAGCTTAACGAAGTACCAATCTGGTATTCTTACCCTGGATTCTAAACTTAGATAACATCTCAGTCATGACTACTGGTCGAAATGAATTGCTTAGAATTTTGAGTGGACAGATGTACTCAGTTCAGTCGAAAATTTCACATCATCTCATCAAAAGAAGGGAATAATATGAGTAAAACATTTTATTTCCAAGGCTGATGAGAATTTCTCACATTCAGAAGAACCGCGCTGTCCGTTTGCGATGATTCTAGCAAGATATGGAAATGTAGAATTGCTGTGGAGCTTGATGCGAGAGGGTAGTAAACGATATAGGAAACTCGTAGATGAATGAGAGCATCATTTAGTTAGATCGCCATGTAAAGGATGAGTCGGGTCAGAGACGATTTTCTGTGCAACTGTTTCACATGCCAAGTGTAATTCCCCCTTTTTTATATAGATCATCAACGGGTATAAAAGACGGCTGATAATCCGCAAACGCGATGAAGAATGTTGAAGTCTGTCTAAAGTATTCCTGCAAAAGTCACCGGAAAACAATAAAGAAGAATAGAAGAGACATATTAATAAACAAAAAGC